AAATCAGACCAGGCGGTGAGGGTAAGCAAGCTGGGGAAAGGGAGACCCAGGCCTGCTGAAATCAGACCAGGCGGTGAGGGTAAGCAAGCTGGGGAAAGGGAGACCCAGGCCTGCTGACTTCCTTGTCTCCCTGCAGCTGGACATATCCCAGCTTCTGCTTAGGCCAGTGATCGTCCTCCATTATTCCTCCAATGTCACCAAGCTGTTGGATGCACTGCTGCAGTGAGTTGGCATTTAGACTTCAAAGGACTGACCCTGGGTACAGAGAGCCCCTGGCTCTCCCATGGGCTGAGGGGGCTTGGGACCAAGGTCTTACCTGTTAGCCTTTTTTTTTTTTTTTTTTGAGATGGAGTATCACTCTTGTTGCCCAGGCTGGAGTGCAATGGTGCAATCTCGGCTCAGTGGAACCTCTGCTTTCCAGGTTCAAGTGATTCTCCTGCCTTAGCCTCTCAAGTAGCTAGGATCAGAGTCATGTGTCACCACACCCAACTAATTTTTTGTATTTTTAGTAGGGACAGGGTTTCACCACGTTGACCAGGCTGGCCTTAAACACCTGACCTCAGGTCCACCTGCCTCGGCCTCCCAAAGTGCTGGGATTACAGGCGTGAGCCCCCGTTGCCACTACTGCTGCTGCTGCCCCTGCTGCCCCTGCTGCTGCTGTGACTGGGCCTGGTAGGGCCCGGCCTAACTGTTAGCTTTTTTTTTTTGATGAAGTCTCGCTCTGTTGCCCAGGCTGGAGTGCGGTGGCGCGATCTCAGCTCACTGCCAGCTCCGCCTCCTGGATTCACGCCATTCTCCTGCCTCAGCCTCCCAAGTAGTTGGGACTATAGGTGCCCACCACGATGCCTGGCTAATTTGTTTGTATTTTTAGTACAGACAGGGTTTCACCGTGTTAGCCAGGATGGTCTCGATCTGCCGACCTCGTGATCCGCCTGTCTCGGCCTCCCAAAGTGCTGGGATTACAGGTGTGAGCCACCGCGCCTGGCCAACTGTTAGCTTTAAGACTGCCCTTTCGGCTGGGAATGGTGTTTCATGCCTGTAATCCCAGCACTTTGGTAAGCCGAGGAAGGAGTATTACTTGAGTCCAGGAGTTTGATACCAGCCGGGGCAACATGACAAGACTCAGTCTCTACAAAAAAAAATACAAAAATTAGCTGAGTGTGGTGACACATGCCTGTAGTCCCAGCTAATCAGGAGGCTGAAGTGGGAGGATCACTTGAGCCCTGGGGGTAGAGGCTGCAGTGAAATGTGACTGTGCCACTGCACTCCAGCCTGGGTGACAAAGGGAGACCCTGTCTCAAAAACAAACAAACAAACAAACAAACAAAAAAGACTGCCCTTTCCCAGGCTGAAAACTGGGTGAGGGCATGGGAAGGAGGTGCCAGAGCCTGGAGCTTGGAGCAAGGAGGTGGCTCTGTGGGCAGAGGGGACTGGCCCCAGCAAGGAGGAAGGTGGACTCCCTGGGCTTGCAGGCTTCCCTGGCCTGGCTGGTGTGAAAACTGGAAAAACCAATAGAGACAAAAGGCCTGGGGTAAAGTGGAAGGCCAACAGGGGCGATAGTCATAGGTACCCTTTTCCTGCAGAGCTGGGATTGGGTGGGTCTGGGCCTCTCTTTCCAAGAGTCCTTCCATCTGGCCCTCCCAGGAGGACCCAGGCCACAGCTGAGATCACCAGCGGAGAGTCCCTGTCTGCCAATATTGAGTGGAAGCTGACCTTATGGACCACCTGTGGCCTCTCCAAGGATGGCTATGGAGGATGGCAGGACTTGGTCTGCCTGGGAGGCAGTCGTGCCCAGGAGCAGGTGGGTGCTAGCAGATGACATGGGGCCTAGGGAAAGGAGGCTCATGGGGCCACATACATGGCCTTGTCTTGCAAATCCTGTGGCTTCTCCCTACCGTGGTGGCAAGGACGGCCTGTCCCACCCCACAGGAGTGCTGTGAGTGTTCAGAGACATGGTGCAGGTGGGCGCTCAGTGGGGTGCCTGGGCCAGGTCACGTGCAGTCAGTGTTAGCTGCTGTCCTCACCTTCTGCAGGCATTGGGAAGCCTTATTTTACTGTCTGTAGAATAAAGTTCAGACCCCTTCGCGTGGCTTTTACAGCTCTCTGCATCACTCACTCACTCTGTTTTTCTAGTCCTTTTTCCTATGCTCTGGCCACCCTGTACCAATGACTACACATGCTCTGGCCTTCTGCCACTGGGCCTTGTCTACGCCTGGCTGTAGACGTGGACACCTTTTCTCTCTGTGTCCACACGTCCTAGTCTAGCTAGAACCTTCACAACTCATCCTGCCACCGTTCTTTGGAAAGCCTCGCTCACAGCCCAGCTTGAAGTCCCCTCTCTCCCTCTTGTATCACAGCAAGGCGTGGTCAGGCTGTTCCTGGGCTTCTTGGGACAGCCCATCCTGCATGTGATGCGGGTGCGCCACTTTGTCTCCTGACAGCCAGGACTGTGTTTTATCGTCTCTGGATTTCCAGCGCTTGGCATCGGGGCATTCAAGGGTATTCTGTCCACAAGCATTTCTTGAGTCCCTGGACTGCTGGGCAGTCACCTCCCAGTCTCCTAGTGTACAGACTCCAGCAGGTGTTGGCCACCGTGGGCTGTGCAGGGCAACTTCCAGTGGGGCAATCTTGGGATCGAATCCTGGCTCGGAAACATTGGCTGACTGATCTCAGGCTGGGAGTTTCACCTCTCTGGCCTCGGGTTCCTCATTTGTGAACAGGGACGGTATTCTGTAGCCCACACAGGCCTCTGGACAGGTCAGGCATTGGTGAGAGGCCTGGGGTGGGGCTGTGCGCAGTCTGCAGGTCGGTCTGGCTGCTCCAGAGGGCAGAGCTGAGCAGCCTTGGCCAGGCTGCAGGCCGAGGTCAAGGTGGTCCCAACCCAATTATTGGGTGGCCATGGCCGCTGAGGTGTCTGACGGGTGGCTGGAGTAGGCATCTCAGTGGCTGGCCTGATGGGCGTTGGGCTCTCAGTCCTGACCCCAGGGCCCAGTCACCATCCCTCCAGCCTCTGGGAGTCCAGAGCAGCAACACTCATGTATCAGGAAGGTCTGATGAACAGCAATGACACGATCTTGGCTCACTGCAGCCTTGACCTCCTGGGCTCAGGTGACACTCCCACCTCAGCCCCCCAAGTAGCTGGAACTACAGGCACATGCCACCATGTCTAGCTAATTTTTGTATTTTTTGTAGAGATGGGGTTTCACTGTGTCGCCCAGGCTGGTCTCGAACTCCTGAGCTTAGGCAATCTGCCCACCTTGGCCTCCCAAAGTACTGAGATTACAGGTGTCAGCCACCATCCCTGGCTAATGAACCGTTCTTACTGCTCTTCCTGCCCTCCATCCTCACCTGGGGCTCTACAAGGTACATTCCCCAAGATGCACTGAACCTGGGGTACATAGGGCTCCCCAGGATGCAGTGAGCCTGGGGAGGCTGGGTCTCTGGCCTGCAGCAGAGCTTCAGGCTGGCCACACCTTCAGCCCAGCCAGCTGGCTGCTCTGAGGCATGGGGCTGTAGAGCAGGCTCTGCCCTGGAGAACTTACACCATAATGGCCACTCAGTCCTGGCGTGGGGCTCAGGAGTGTCACTTTGTCTCCTGACAGCCAGGGCTATGTTTTATCATCCCTGGATTTCCAACACTTGGCATCAAGGGCATTCAAGGGTATTCTGTCCGCAAGCTTTTTTTTTTTTTTTGAGACAGCATTTCACTCTTGCTGCCCAGGCTGGAGTGCAATGGTGCGATCTTGGCTCACTGCAACCTCTGCCTCCTGGGTTCAAGCAACTCTCCTACTTCAGCCTCCCAAGTAGCTGGGACTACAGTCCTGTGCCACCACACACCAGCTAATTTTTTGTATTTTTAGTAGAGACGGGGTTTCTCCATGTTCGTCAGGCTGGTCTTGAACTCTCGACTTCAGGTGATCTGCCCGCTTCGGCCTCCCACAGTGCTGGGATTACAGGCCTGCGAGCTACCGCGGCCGGCCCACAAGCATTTCTTGAGTTACTTCTCTGCCACACAGTGATGCCCCAGTCTCCTGGTATACAGCCCCCAGCAGGTGTTGGCCAACTGGGCTGCTCTAGCCCTGGGCTCATGGGGGCCCAGTCTGGAGAGGAGATAGGCCAGAGACATGCTGTCACTGCTGGGGTGAGCACAGAGCTGGTGGTGACCCCGGGACCCTCTAGGGCATGGTAAAGGCACTCAGCCTGGGGCTTGGGGACAGCTTCCTAGAACAGGTGGCACTGCCCAGCTGCAGCTGGAGGAGAGAAGAGGGCAGGATGGAGAGGGGAGTTGGGGCTCACAGACACTTCCCAGTGAGGGCCCCCAGAGCACCTCCACTCTGAGCAGAGCAATGGCCTGTGGCACTAGCAGCACCCAGGCTTGTCTAGAGCTGTGAGCTCTTCACATCAGGTCATTTCTCAGCCCCTCTTCCCCACATGACGGTGGATGAACTTTAGCATCGGTCAGGGAAGAACACGATGGCAGAGCAGCACTCAGCTGCAGAGTGAATGTGTGTCTTAGTCCTAAGACATCCACAGACCCTGTGCAGAGGCGCACCTGAGGGAGCGTGCTGTGTTTTGCTTACTCCGCCGCACCATCTCGTGAGCCAGCTGTTGAGTAGTCAGAGCCCAGCAGCCACACCACAGCTGGGGCGAGTTGAGTCAAGATCCTTGTTGTTCCCTCAGTCACTCTGAGGCTGCCCAGGGGCCTGAGGCCCCCGGGCTTTACAGTGTTCTCTCAGTCACATTTCCTTTCGAGATTCACTCATTCCACAAAGATGATGGGAGGTACTGGGTTAGAGTGGTGGCCACATCAGCTATGGTTACCTCCCACAGATAGGAGCACACAGACCCCCAAGGGCAGCTGCAAGAGAACGCTGGGTAGAGCAGGTGTGAGGAGGGCGGGGCAGCCGGAGGTTAGGGGGCACATTCACCCGGCCGTAAGAGGTCAGGGAGCTTCTAGAGCAAGATGTGGTGGAGGCAGTAGCTGAGAAAAGGGATAAGGTGGAAGAGGGTTTCCAAGACAGGGAACAGTATGGAGAGGCACAGATACGGGAGGGAGCCAGGAGCACAGGACACTGAGAGGAGGCAGGTGGCACTACAGGGAAGGAGCTCAGGCAGGGGAGCTGCGGGGCCTGGTGTGCAGGGGAGAACCCTCTGGCTGTGGGTGGGAAATGGGTGGCAAGGAGGGCATGAGAGACCACCCCCCAACCCAGGAGAACAAAGCAACAGGCCTTGGGGGCTGGCTCCCTCCCGTACTGGGGGGTGTGAACGTTCAGGCTGGATGGGTGAGTGGGTGATGGCAGGGCCTGAGAAAGCCGACCAGGAGGAAGTGCAGGAGGATGGGGGTGGGAGAGTGAGCAGGTCCCAGGGTGGGTGTTAGGTTGCTGGGTGCTGGGTTGGGGAGTCTCTGAGGCTACCAGATAGAAGCTTCTGTGTGTGCAAAACATCAGGTTTGTTGCCCAGAGAGCCCTGGGCTGGGAATGGATGTGGCTCTTCTTGAAGCTGGATGGGAAAACGTGTAGGGCAGAGTGAGTGATCCTGAGAAGCACACAGTGGGAGGGACGGAGCCTTCGGAAGAGGAAGCTGGGGACTGCAGGGACACAGAGGCCATCAGCACACCTCACCTGCCTGCTCCCTGGCGTTCCTGGGGATAGATGTTCCTAAGGGAGGCGTGTGGGGGCGGCCCCATGTCCCTGATGACTGCTTCCCTCCCCAGAAGCCCCTGCAGCAGCTGTGGAATGCCATCCTACTGGTGGCCATGCTCCTGTGCACAGGCCTCGTGGTCCAGGCCCAGCGGCAGGCGTCGAGGCAGAGCCAGCGGGAGCTCGGAGGCCAGGTGAGAGCCAGCCCCAGGGAGCCCCAGAACCCTCAGCCCTTGGGCCTGCGAGACCGTGCCTGTCCTCTCCCCACAGGTGGACCTGTTTAAGCGCCGCGTGGTGCGGAGACTGGCATCCCTCAAGACACGGCGCTGCCGGCTGAGCAGGGCGGCGCAGGGCCTCCCAGAGCCGGGTGTTGAGACCTGTGCCGTGTGCCTGGACTACTTCTGCAACAAGCAGGCTAGTGCCCAGCTCACCGGTGATGCCTCCCACCTTACTCCCAGGACCTTGGAACCACCCCCACCAGGCCCTTCTCCTTCAGCCCCCAGGGCTACAGAGCAGAATTTCAGTGGGGTGGGGGAAGCAGTGAGGTTTCAGTTCCCCAGCTGAGGCAAGGGGCATGGGACCAGGCACCCCCATGTGGAGTCCTGCTTCAGTGGCCTGAGACCTTCCTCTCCCACCCCTGTAGTGGCTCCGGGTGCTGCCCTGTAAGCACGAGTTTCACCGAGACTGTGTGGACCCCTGGCTGATGCTCCAGCAGACCTGCCCACTGTGCAAATTCAACGTCCTGGGTGAGCACCAGGGGCAGGGGCCCTTGGCCTACTCCGCCTGCTCCTCACCTGATGCCTCCCTCCCTGTTCTTCTTCCTCTCCCTCGCAGGGAACCGCTACTCTGATGATTAGCTGCCCAGCTGGACTCTGCACGTGGGGATGGACCCTTCCTGCCTGCTCCCCGGTCCTCAGCCTGGGCTCCCAGGACAGGACAGGATGGGACAGCAGGATAGACAGGACAGCAAGCCCAGTGGGTGGGAGGAAGGATGAGGGCCCCACTGCGTCCATACTGGGAAGGGGGGCTCCACAGCTACAGGCTGAGGATCTAGGGCCGGGACCTGTCAATCTAGGAAGAGGTCACTTTAGGACCTTCTCTGTAATCCTGTGACATGAGTCTGCCCTCCTCACAGGCAGCTCCCAGGTCAATAGGGAAGGAGAATATGGGGCCAGTGTAGCTGTTCCCAGGGTTCTGGGAGCTCCCTGTGGCCTGTCTGGGAATCCCTGGAGGTTGAGACTACAGTGGCCAGGTTTTGTGCTTATTTATTGGGGGGTGGGTTGAGGGAGGAGCTATCTGGCCTTGGGGTACCCTGGCCTGACCGTCTTTCAGGATACGTCTTGGTCAAGGCTGTCTGCCTGTTGCCCTTGGTCCTTGGGCACTGGGAGCCCTGGGTCCCACTGCCTGTCCAGCCTGGCTCCCTTCCTGGGCCTGGCTAGGACCAGAGGCCTTAGATCCTGTTCTGGACTCCTTGGCTGTGGCTTTGTGTTGCCGACCGGGATACTCGAAGCCACAGGATCAATGTAGTGCCTCATCCGGGGCATCCATTTTTTTTTTTTTCAAAGAGTTGGGGTAGGGAAGGTTTAATAGTAAAATAAACGTGGCTATATTTTAACATAAGATGTAAAATGTGTATGGGTGTTTTAAAATTTTAAAAAGTTATCTTAGGTTCTACTGCCTGTGGTAGAGGGAATTCTGAGATGGCCCCCAAGATGTCCCACTGCCACCTGCCGTGAACATGTCTTGCATTAATATAATCTCTGGAACTGTGACTCAAAGGGATTTTATTTATTTATTTTTATTTTTTGAGATGGAGTTTCGCTCTTGTTGCTGAGGCTGGAGTGCAATGACACGATCTCAGCTCACTACAACCTCCGCCTCCCGGATTCAAGCGATTCTCCTGCCTCAGCCTCCCAAGTAGCTGGGATTACAGGCATGCGCCACCATGCCCAGCTAATTTTGTATTTTTAGTAGAGATTGGGGTTTCTCCATGTTGGTCAGGCTGGTCTCGAACTCCCGACCTCAGGTGATCCACCTGCCTCGGCCTCCGAAAGTGCCGGGATTACAGACGTGAGCCACCACGCCCGGCTTCTTGGAGGGATTTTACGCCCATGGTAGGGCTGTCTTATGGCAAGCTGACCTGAAGATAGGGAAAGTATTTGAGTGAGCCTTGCCCTAACCACATGAGCCTATTCAAAGTAGTTTTCTGCTGGTAGAAGAGGAGGAAGTCAGGGATTTGAAGCATGTAGGGGATTCAGTGCATGAGAAATCCTCTGTTGCTGACTTGAAGATGGAGGGAGCCCCATGGTAAGTGGGCAGCCTCTAGGAGCTGAGAGAGGATCTGGCTTACAGCTAGCTAGCGAGGACACGGGGACCTCAGTCCCATGGCTGCAAGGATCAGAATTCTGCCAAGTGGAGCTCGGAAGCCAGTTCTTCCCCAGAACCGGCAGAAAGGAACGCAATCTGGTAGATGCCTCAATTTCAGCCCTCTGGGACCCCGAGCAAAAATAGCCACACAGAATCTGGACTTGTGACCTCTAGAACTGGGAGCTAATGAATACATGGCTGCGGAGTTGGTGAGGTCCTACCCCTGGACTTGGGCACAGGCCTCCTGGCTCAGGGTGCTGAGGGTTGGTGCTGCCCTGAGAGGGGGGTGCCCGGGGCACCCCAGCCTCCCTCAGGATCTCCCGGGCCCCTCAGAAGCAGGAAGTTGGGCTGACCAAGGCTGTGGTAGCTCAGCTATATACATGGCCCCTCTTGACCCTTCTCTCTGAACTGAAGCGCTCTGACGGCCTCTTCACCAAGGGAAAATGCTTCAGGCATCTGGGAGCGTGTACCCTGACAAGGCCTCAGCAAGTTTTTGGAGACTGTCCTTCACAGGTGAAGTGGCTCAGGGCAGGCTGGTGGCTTCATGAGGAAAACCCCAGAGTCTTGGCCGCATGGCATTCTGGGCTGAAGAGACCCCCAAAGGACAGGGATGGGAAAGGCAGGGTGTCCTCTACTTGGGGGAGGCCTTGCCCTGCCTTCAGTGGCCTCCTGGGGCTATGACCTCCAGGATTTAGAGAAACCTTCATGACGGTCACCATTTCCTAAAGGCAAAGAGTTCCGCAGTGAAAGGAGGCGTGACCTGTTGGGTCCTTAATGTGGCCAGCACAGGTCCAGAACCAGGGTGGGAGGCTGAAGGTGTCGCTGCCCGCTGCCTGCTTCAGATGTCCTCACTGGCCCTTCCCCTGTCCACTCCCACCCGACCCCCTTCTGAGTCAGTGCAGGCCACTGAGCCCAGGTTCACCCCTCGTCCCTTGCTCTGGGGAAAGACGGCCCTTCACCTAGCCCAGGCCCTAGGGGCTTCCTGTGCCCTGGGTGTACTCTCCTATCCCACAGCCTCTGTCGGGAGGGAAGCAGGAAGGCCCCTTTTACTGAGGGCGCATAGTGCCAGGACTCTGCTGACTGACTGAACTGCATGGCTGGGAACTCAGTGGCCCCTGCCCAGGACGGGGAAGAAAGGGCTCTTTCCTTGGCTCAGTCATACTGTGAGGCCAAGACTGCTGTGGGCCAATGGCCAGGGCTTTATTACGGCGGGTGGGCTACCAGCCACCTGCCATCCAGCCTCAGCACTGCCACAGGCTACATGGGCCGCTCCTGGGGCTGGTGTGCAGAGCTGGCCTGTCCCCGGCCAGGTGACAGTCTCTTCCTCAGCCTGACCAAGGCCTTGATGGGGTTCTGGGTGCAGGTATCCAAGTGGGTCACACCCTCCAGCAAGGACTTGCTGGGCTGGTTGCAGGGCTGCCGAGGTGGGGATGCGCAGGGCTGCTGCCGAGGTGGGGATGCGCAGGGCTGCTGCCGAGGTGGGGATGCGCAGGGCTGGCCCAGCAGGGTCCTGCCCGTGTTGCTGCCAGGAAGGTGCTGTCTGCCCAAGGGCCTGAAGGAAAACCAGATCCAAGATCCCCTGTGAGTGCGGGGGATGCTCCACCCACCTGCCCCACCTCTGGTAAAGCCTCACTCACCCTGGGGATGTGCTCTGGGCCTGGACTGGCTGTGTTGCTCCCTGGGTTCCCTTGCTAGAAGGGGACCAGAGCCGGTCCTGCGGGATCAGCTACAAAAAAGAAAAAGCCAGTCTTAGAAGGGTTCAGGAGTCCCCTCCCCACTGTACAGAGAGGGTGTCGGAGCCAGGGATGGGGAGGGAAGGGCCAGGCGCATATCTACGGGCCCTTCCACCTAGGGGCGGGGCCTAGGAAGCCTTCCAGGGCCTATTCTCAGCTGCAGAGCCTCAGGCAGGCAGCAGTTAAGGGGAGGTTTCTTTCTGACATGGCTTTTTTTTTTTTTTTTTTTTTGTAGAAACAGGGTCTCATATCATCCAGGCTGGTCTCAAACTCCTGGGTTCGAGTGATCTGCCTGCCTCTCAAATTGTTGGGATTACAGGCATGAGCTGCCACGCCCGACCCCTGACAAGGCTTCTTGTTGCACCTGAAGGCATGAATGGCTATAGAGGGGATATGGGACTGGAAGGCACTGGATCCGTAACATCCTCACGCCCTCTGGAAATGTGAAAAATGTTTCACAAAAGCACAGCCTAAGGCCTCATGTGATGAGGTGGGCTCTCCACAAGTTCCCCGGGCAGAGTCTGAAGACCTCTGCTGGGCAGAGGCTTCCTCCTGGTCTCCAAGGGCCCGCCCTCTCAGGCCCACCTTGAGGCCACCCTGCTGGGCCACTTCCCGGATTTTGGACAGCATTGATTGGAGCCGCCCGTTCTCCTCCTGTAGGACCTGGATGCGGATGTCGTTGGCCTGCACTTGCCTCTCCATGTGATCTGTGACGTTGCCAGAGTCTGTGGGACATGTTATCTGGGATTCCACGCTGCTGGATCTGCCTCCTGTGCCCAATGGGACAGGACCTTAGAAGGGAGGCACACCAGCTTGGGTGGGTGGCCCGGCAGGTGCAAGGGAGCTGTGTAGTGCACCAGGCCTCCCAGCTCATCTTCCTTCTCCAGAGGCCTTATTCCCCCTTCCCTCTCCCCTCACCTGCTGGGAAGATGACCATATTATAAAATCTGAGAGCTGGGTGGGACCTAGGGCTCTCAAAAGACTTAGCAAGGCCGGGCGCGGTGGCTCATGCCTGTTATCCCAGCATTTTGGGAGGCCGAGGTGGGTGGATCATGAGGTCAAGAGATCGAGACCATCCTGGCCAACATGGTGAAAGCCCGTCTCTACTAAAAAATACAAACATTAGCTGGGGTGTGGTGGCAGGCGCCTGTAGTCCCAGCTACACAGGAGGCTGAGGCAGGAGAATCACCTGAACCCAGGAGGCGGAGGTTGCAGTGAGCTGAGATTGCGCCACTGCACTCCAGCCTGGCGACAGAGTGAGACTCCAAAAAAAAAAAAAAAAAAAAAAAAAAAAAAAAAAAAAGACTTAGCAAATAAGCAGGAGAGGAGAGTGAATCTCTCTGACAAGGCCCCCTGTTTTGGACAGGCTAGAGCCAAAGTGAGCTGTCCAAGGTCACCCGGCCAGCTCAAGCGTGGGAATGGCAAGGCTGCGCTTCCCCTGCTTTTGTGATGGATGCTTCCTTCTGGCTCCATGAGCCTGGGGGAATTGCTGCCCCTTCTGGTTCAGTTTCCTGCTTTGTAAAAAGGGACTATGACCTGCCTCACAGGGTGGTTGAGAAGGGGACAGAAGGGCCTGGATGATGTCTCACGAGCAGCTAACTGCAGATCTTCCTGCCAGCTCTGCAAATGGATTTGCCCCAGCGCTTTAGGGGTCTGGAGAGGCTGGGAGAATCCAGGTCACCTGATATCCAGTCCTGTGCCAAGACGGGTACCTAGCACTCCTGTGCCATGGGGTCCAGGACAGTGGGCAGCTGGGGGCTGTGTCCTTGGGACTAGTCCCATGGTGTGGTTTGGGGACCCATTCCAAGAACCAAGAAGGGGGACACAGAGAAGTCAAGCAAGAATTAGCATGTGATGTGGTAAAAAGCATGGTCTGTGGGGACAACCAGACCTGTGTCTGGGTTTGGCTGCTGTGGCTAGAGGCAGTCACATCACCGTTGGGCTTTCACATCCCTCTCTATGCAGAGTGGATGACGCATGAAGCGCTTGCGTGCTGTGGTGGGTCCACAGGGGCTGCACTGCTGGCCGCCCGGCTTTCCACCCTTGCTGCACGCTAGGGAACTGCAGTCCCCAGTGTCCTGGCCACATGAGCCCTCAGCTGCCGGCCCTGAGCCCCAGCATGCCCTTGGCACCATCCCCAGTCCCCTACCATGGATCTGGATCTGGGTCTCGGTGGGCTGGTGCAGGTCTGGGAAGGCCACCAGCAGCCGCTCCCGCTCCCTCAGCTCCACCAGCTCCCGCTCTAGCTCCAGGATGGTTAGCCGCAGGTCCGTAGTCGCCTGCTCCAGGCCTTGCTTCTCCCTCTGCAGGCTCTGCAGCAGCTCCTGGGGCAGGGGGAGGCTCAGGCCTGGCTCCTGAATGAGCCACATGGCACTAAGCGCCCCTGGGGCACCGTCCCTACCCCGAGACAAGACACGGGACAGGCCTGCAGGCACTCAGTTGGCCAGAGACTTCTCCAGCAAAAAGGAAGACCGCCACTCTCACCTGCTGGGCCCTGAGCTGGCATTGCCCCTGCTCCCGCTCGCTCTGCAGCTGCTCCTCCACGTGGGCCCGCTGGGCCTCAGCCTCATCCAGGCTGCCCCGCAGCTCCTCACGTTCCTGGTCCAGGCTGTCCAGCTGCTTTAGCAGGGCTCGCTGCTTGGCCTGCAGAGACTAAGCAGGAACAGACAAGCAGGGAGGCTGTGAGACCCACAGGGCTAGGCCCAGCCATATGGAACTAAGGAGGCTATAGCATCTACTACCCCCCCGCTGCTACCCCCCTGGGGCGTGTGTCTGTGTCTAGGGAACATTGGTCACACACATGGAAGGGCAGGGGTTGGGGGAAGCTGGCAGCAGGCAGATGCACACCAGACCTGGTCAAGGGCAGGACCCCAGCTTGAAGACCCTGGCCCTTGGAACGTTGTTGGCTGACTCTGGGGGTCTCACCCCCACTTCCTTCCAGTCACACGGAGACCCCACTTGGAGAGGAATTCTGGGAACTAAGTTTTTCTTCTCCTTGGGTCTCCAGTGTCACATCATCCCATGTCACTGAAGCCCACATTTCCTAACACCCACTGAATGGAAAGCAGGAAGAACTAATGCTAGACTGCTCAGAGTCCTGGCTCCATCTCTCACTAGCTATGTGGCCTTGGGCAACTTCCTTAATCTCAATAAGGCTCAGTTTCCTCATTCGTAAAATGGGGGTGACAATAGTATCTACCTCCTGTTGCTGTAGCGAGGAGTAAGCATCAGAGTCTGTGGCTCCTGAAGCCTGGGTCACAGCAAACACCTGATACATGGTGGCTGTGACAGTTTACAAGGCAGAGAACAGCACCCACTTGGGGTAGAAAGGCTTCCCCTACCCTGGGCCCATGTCTGGCCCTGGGAACTCTCAACTGAACTCCTGGCTCCTTGCTGAGCTTTTGAGGGTGGACCCAGCCAGGACAGCCCCCAGACCTGCCCCTTTCACTGGGCAACACATCACCTACTCCCTCAACCACACTTCTGAGGACTCCTGTGAGGCTCCATTGCCCAGAGCACAGCTGTGGGCCCTGGCTCACCCTCTGCCCACCCTATCCTTCCCCTGGCTGATGGGCTAATTGCCTGTCACAGGCATCCAGCTCAAAGGCCACCTCCTCCTAGAAGCCATTCTGGATTCCCATGGCAGATGTGGCCATCCCTCCCTGCACCCCTTAGCCATCTGGCAGGAGAGTGTGGCACACCTGTTCATCTTTGCTTGTAGGGCACTCCTCCAGACTGAGGCCTCACTGGGCAGTATCTGTCCCTGGATCACTGTTCCCCCAGTGCCCGGCTCAGGGCAGACTCTCTGTAAAGGTGAGTCAACCCCCACACCTGGAGGTATCTCAGGGAGCAGGTACCCAATACAGATGAGCCCCCATTCCCTGACAGTGGAGCCCTCTCTCCCTGCAGCCTACATTGCAGGTGCCCAGGCTGGCAAGGGCCCCGGCCTCACCTCCTGGTGGCGGACCATGCTGTCAACACGGGCTTTCTCCTTATCCAGCTCCGTGCTGGCCCAGCAGATCTGCTGGCCAGCGCCCTCCAGCCGACCCACCAACAGCTGCACCTGCTCCTCCAGCTGCTGCACCTGCCTCTCTGCTGCCGCCCTGCGCTCGCCTTCCTCCTGCAGCTGCTGGGCCTTTGTCTCTGCAGCATTGAGTGGACGTGGGATGGTAGGGCAGGGGAGCGCTGTACTACCTCAGACCCAGGACAGGTGCTCACATCCCATCTCTGGGCCTCAGAGTCCTCAGGAACAAAATGGGGCTCTAGACCCTGCCTGAAGTGGGTTTGGAAAATAGAAGGTGCTTTCTGGGTAGGAGGCGGCACCCCAGTTTGGTCATCGCCCAACAGTGTGGTTGGTCAGGCCCACCCTCCTGTGGCTGGTACCCTTCGTCTTCGCTCTGGATGCTCAGGGGACAGAGATGGACGATGCTCGTCCAGCCACACCCCTGGCTTGAGATGTGGCATCGGGGCCTATGACAGGGTTCCTTACCCATAGCCTGCGTGGACTCCTGCTGTTGTTTCAGTTCTCTCTCCAGGGTGGCCATCTTTGTCTTTAGGTCACTTGTTTCTATGGCAGCCAAGAAAGAGGCCCTTCAGAGGGTCCCATGGAGCTGGCCGGCGGCCTTCATGCCCAGTGGGCCCCATGGAGTGGAGGCAGCCCACCGCCTGCAGAGAGGCCGCCTGCGGTCATGGGAGGAGCTCTGGGGAGGTTGGTGGAGGCGGCTGGGCCCTCGTCCACCCTTTTTCTCATGTGCTGGCTGCCATGTGTCTACACCTCTCTGGGCCTTGATGTCATCCATGGAGGCAACTGTGAGGCTCAGAAAGGGCAAATCCCTCCGGCCTCCCGTCAGTGAGCACTGACCAACTTCTGGTGCCAGGAACTACGTCTCCAATGGCTTCTGCCAAAACCAGAGAGGCTGCTCTGCTTGGCTGGAAGTGCCAGGGGAATAACTCTCTGGAAGTAGCCCTCAATGACTGACAGCGCAAGTGGATACATACCTCGGCTCCCTCCCTGACTGAGAGATGAGTCTGGGCAAGTGTCCTAGCCCAGTTCCCAGCCCCAGGGGGACTGCGATCACAGTGTCACCACCGGACGAACACACCCTTCCTTGCTGCCCTCCCTTCCCTGCCTCTTGCCTGTGTCCCAGCCTGGGTTCTTCCACACAAACCACTTGCCCTGGAAGTCCTGTCTCACAAACATCCATGCAAAGGCTGTGGCAGAGACCCTGGCACCAGGCGTCTGGCCTCTGGGGCACAGACCTGTGAGCAGCTGCTGTTTGTCACGCTCCCACTCGGACAGGCACTGCTCATCCTCCTCTGCCTGTCGCCGCTGCGCCCCCTGCTCCTGTTTCAGCGCCTGCTCCAGCTTGCCCGCCTGCTTCCTCAGGCCATCCTTCTGCCCCTCGGCCTCCTCCAGCTGGGCCCTGAGGGCCTCCACGTGCTTACTGAGGCGCTTCAGGTCTTTCCTTTGCTCTGCTGCCCAGCGGCCCACTGTAGCAGCCGGCAGTGGCCTGAGCCCCATGCTGTCCTGTACCAGTTGCTGGAACTGGCCTAAGGATGAAGGCAAGTTCTGGCTCTGACACAGGCTGATGACCGCCTTGCCCACCTTCTGCAGGCTTCCCTGGACGCTGGCGCATGCGTCACAGGGCACCAGGGCCGTCTCAATGGTCTGGGAGTAGACACTCCTGGTGTTCCTGGAGGTCGTGGCTGGGAACTGCAGGGAGGCTTTGACAGGGATGCTCTCTGGCTCTTGGCAGGTCTGGGGCAAGCCTGGCACTGGGGAGGAGGGCTTGATGAACTTGGCAGGCAGACATTCAGGGCTCCTGGCTGGCTCGCCCTTGGTGGGCTTGGAGGTGGGAGTCTCTCTTTGGTTTGCCCCTTTCTGTGTTCAGAAAAAGACAAGGGAAAGCAGGTGAGGGAGAAAGTAGAGAGGGAGGTGACTGGTTCTCTGGGGATGTTCTGTGACAGTGTGACAGCCTTGCCTGACACGCAGACCCTCAGATGTTCTCTGACACCGACGTGAATAAGAGAGAACTTTCTCCCTTTTTTACTCTGACTCAAGTTACCACACCCAGGTCTCCTCTCTGCGGCCCACACCCCGAGCTCCAGCCTTGATCTGATTGTACGCATGGTGTTGAGTGATGGTGACATCACAGCTGCTGGTTACTGGGCTCTTGATCAGTGGACATGCCTGCTCTTGTGTCACCATAACCACTCTCAGTTTTAGTTTCCTCCCCATCACGGTGACAGTGGTCCTTCCCCAGCGGGTGGTTGTGTAGATTATGGGATAGCCCATAACAAACGGGGCTCACATGATCTCCATTGTACAGATGAAGAAACTGAGGTTTGGAGTAGGCAAGATTTTTCCAAAGTCCCACAGGGATGTTAGAGCCAGGGAGCAAGGCATGACCCCCAAGGCCTGTGTTCTTAACCGCCACACTGTGTGGGGCTTGACTGGGAGGGCAGTGGGAGCCAGTGAAGGCGGCGGTGCACACAGTGGTAGGCTAGGAAGCCAGAGCTGGGGCAAGCTGTGAAGGCCACCACAGTGGGGAGACAGAGGCTGGGACCCACCTGGGGGAGTGGCTGCTGGTGGAGCGTGCCTAGCTTCAGCAGGCTATCCCAGAAGCGCCGCACCGTGAGCCCCACGGACATGCAGGGCCCCGTAGCCCGTGCAGGGGGCATCATCTGCTCGGAGCCAAGGTTCTCCAAGTAGCTCATGCAGCTTTGAAGCAGCAGCAGGAGCCTGCGGGCAGAGATGCCAGGTTGCTGGGGCCCAGGCTGGTGCCAACACACCCTCAGACCATACAACTGCAGCTCTGGCTCTGCGGAACTGGCCCAGACATCAAGGGCTTGGAGAGTCTCAGAATATGCTCTGCTGGGCCAGCTTCAAACCTAACCCAGGGGTTACTTCCCCGAGGAAGCCCTCCCTGGCCACAACCTCAGCTTGGGAGCCTCTTCTGCATCTCCTGGGTGGGACTTCTGCCTGGCTCTTCTCCACTGGACCAGGGAGCTCTGTGAAGCCAGGCCTGGCCTTGCCTCAGTTGTATCCTGAGTCCTTGAAAAGTTCTGGGTGCCTTACATTCATTCAGTGGCCAAGAGCCTCTACCTGACAGATGACAGAGCTGAGACCCAGAAAGGGGAAGAGCCTGCCCACAGCCACAGGTTGATGTGCCAGGCGTGGCAGTGGGTACCTGTAATCCCAGCTACTTGGGAGGCTGAAGCAGGAGAATCTCTTGAACCCAGGAGGTAGAGGTTGCAGTGAGCTGAGATCACACCACTGCACTCCAAGAAGAGCGAAACTCCGGAAAAAAAAAAAAAAAAAGGCATGCACCAACACACCCAGCTAATTTTTAAAATATTTTTGTACAGATGGGGTCTCCTTATGTTGCCTAGGCTGGTCTTGAACTCTCAAATGATTCTCCCATTAACCTCCCAAAATGCTGGGATTACAAGTGTCGGCCACCGTGCCTGGCACACCATCTTAACTTTATTTTTATTTTCACTTTTTTTTTTGAGAAACGGTCTTACTCCATTACCAAGGCTGGAGTGCATTGCCGTGCTCTTGGCTCACTGCAACCTCTGCCTCCCAGATTTAAGTGATTCTCATGCCTCAGCCTCCTGAGTAGCTGGAAATACAGGAACGCACCACCACACCCAGCTAATTTTTGTATTTTTACTAGAGACATGGTTTCACTATGTTGGCCAGGCTGGTCTTGAACTCCTGACCTCAAGTAATGCACCCGCTGTGGCCTCCCAAAGTGCTGAGATTACAGGCATGAGCCACCGTGCCCGGTCAACCATGTTAACTTTAATGATAGCTTAGAAGTGATGGGGCTGCAGGAGAATCCACGAGGCTCTTCTCAGCGGGTCAGGATTTGGAAAAATACATCCCGTCTCTGGCCTTGTGATATGTAGAGGGAACAGCACAACCCACAGGACAACAGGAAAGAGAGGCCGGGATGGAAACTCTGAGAAGCAACTATGGGGTCCCCGACACAGAAACCCTGAGGAGGCAGCTGGGAGCAGCTGAGAGACCGTGGTCACAGATGTGGTGCCACAGAGACCGATGGAGTGGAAATCAACTGCCTGAGGTGGACGGGCTAGGAGCCTAACACGGGATAGCACAGCACACAACACAAGACAAACGATAAAAGGTAAGACTACTTTGAAAGTCCTGAGCTGATGTGGCCCCGACAGGTACTCAATGGTGACTGTTGTTCCAACATCACCCCCGCCTCTGGAGGGGCTTCTGTAGCTGCCACTGGTTTCAGGGGCAGGTGCCGGCATCCTGAGATGACCAGGCTTGGTCAAGGCCCTCACCTGTCGATGACCAGCTCCAGCAGCACAACATGGGACAGCTGCGTGAACTCGGGGTCACCCGGAACATGGTCATAGTGCTCCAGCAGGGCCACCATGTCGAGGTCACAGGCCATGCGGTCAGGGAACTTCCAGGAGGGGAAGCGCACAGGCCCGGCGCGGGAGAAGACGTCTACGATGGCACCCTGCAGGTCGGTGAGGTCTGTGCGCAGGCTGTCCATGCAGGCCTGGCTGCCCAGCAGGTGCGCCATCCTCACAGCTCCTGGGGTGAGCACAGAAGAGCCCTGCCAGCCAGAGTCACGTGGCTGCTGCTAGAGGAAACTCCCTGAAACCCTCATCTGCCCAGGGGCTACTAGGCCAGAAGTTCACCCCAGACCCCGGGGAGAAGTCTGTTTCCCAGCCCCAGGTGACAAGGCCTTTTGGACCTGGTTCTGGGTGGCCTCAACAGCCTCTCAGTCCCACTACCCTGAGCACATACTGCAGAGTCCATCACTCCACAAGTCCTTCCTAAGGACTTACATACGTCGGGTCCCCAGCTCAAGGCTGGGTGGATACAGCTATGAACAAGAACATGCCTCTCATCCTTTCCTCCCAGAGTGAACCCTTGAACAGGGCACACACAACTGAGAGTTACAGCTACAGCGTGATGGGAAGTGTTGGGCCACACCAGGCCACTGTCATATCCTGCCTAGACCACTGCAGCAGGTTCCAGCTGGGTCACAGGGCAGGCCTCCAGAGATTTCCGCTCCAGAGATTTGGACCAAACTCTACTGAACCATGTCATACTGGCCACAATGCCTCGGTACTCCCTGTGGCCCATGGAAGAAAAGCCACCTCTGGACACATCCCTCGCTTCGCCTCTCTCTAGTCCCCTCCCCTCTACCTCATAGTCTTCCCTCCTACCACCATGAGCTACCAGTAGCAGCTCATGCACACGAGGCACTTGTTTCTAAATCCTCGCCCATCTGTCCTCTCTGTCAGAATCATGCTTCCCTGTCCAATTCCCATCACATGGCTAACTCCTCTCATCCTTCAGGGTTCCTGGATATCACCTCCTCCAAGAAGGCTTCCCTAAATACCCTCCATGCTGGCTTAGATACTCCCTCTGGGCTTCCCCCATCTCAGCTCTGATTGCTGTCTGCTGGAACGGCCTTCTCTCCGAGCCATCTTAGCCCCTGTGGTGTCCCCAGTGTGGCCAGCTGGGGACCTGGCCCACTGTAGATGCTCACTGGCAAATAATGACTGAGTGATTGAATGGAGAAAAGAAAAAGAATTGCAAAGAAAATTTAAAATGCACTTGACTTCTAAAGTGCAAGAGAGAAAAATGTGAAAACTTGCATTGAGACCTATTGTCATCACTCTGGTGATAGGGAACCCATTATATATATGTACGTTTTTTGTTTTTTGTTGTTTTTTTTTTGAGATGGCGTCTAGCACTGTCGCCCAGGCTGGAGTACAGTGGCGTGATCTGAGCTCACTGCAGTCTCTGCCTCCCGGGTTCAAGCGATTATCCTGCCTCAACCTCCCGAGTAGCTGGGATTACACATGCCCGCCACCATGCCTGGCTAATTTTTGTAGTTTTAGTAGAGACAGGGTTTCTCCATGTTGGCCAGGATGGTCTTCTGACCTCAAGTGATTCACCCACCTTGGCCTCCAAAAGTGCTGGGATTACAGGCGTGAGGCACCACACTCAATCCCATTATATATATATTTAAAACAATTTTTATTTTTACTGATGCATAATAGATGTCCATAGTTTCAAGGTACCTAGTTTCAGAATTACTTAATACATATATAATTTGTAAAGATCAAATCAGTGTACTTTGAATATCCATCACCTTAAATTTGTCTTTCCTTTTTTCCTTTTGTTTTGTTTTTTGAGACATGGCCTCTGTCACCCAGGCTGGAGTGCAGTGGAGCCCTCACAGCTCACTGTAGTTTCAACCTCCTGGACTTAAGTGATTCTCCTGCCTCAGCCTTCCAAGTAGCTGGGACTACAGGTATGTGCCACTATACCTAGCTAATTATTTATTATTTTTGGGGGGTAACATCTTGAACTGGCAATTTAAAAATTTTTTTGTAAAGATGGGATCTCACCGTGTTGCGCAGGCTGGTCTCAAACTCCTGGGTTCAAGCAGTCCTCTCTGAAAGGCTTGGCCTCTCACAGTGCTGGGGTTATAGGTGAGAACCACCACACCCAGCCTGTCTTTTTTTCATGTTAAGAAACATCTGAGGCCGGGCACAATGGCTCACATCTGTAATCCCAGCACTTTGGGAGGCCGAGGCGGATCACCTGAAGTCAGGAGTTCAAGCCTGGCCAACATAGTGAAACCCCATCTCTACAAAAATACAAAAATTAGCTGGGCATGATGGCGGGTACCTGTAATCCCAGATACTTGGGAGGATGAGACAGGAGAACTGCTTGAACCCAGAGGTGGAGGCTGCAGTGAGCCGAGATCGCGCCATTGCCCTCCTGCCTGAGTGACAGGGCGAGACTCTGTCTTACAAAAAAAAAAAAAAGAGAAACATTCTATTTATTTTCTTCTAGCCATTTTGAAATGTACAATAGATCAGTATAAACTAGTCACCCTACTGATCTATTGAACACTAGGACTGCTGCTACGTTTTTATGCAGAGAATCCCAGTCCTGCCCCTTCCTGGCCTCAGAGAAGTCACCGAGGCCCAGTTGTAAGATGGGGACATTGTCTCCAAGCAGGCCAGGTTGTTGTGAAGGCGTTAAAGGGATCATGAGTAAGGTGCTTGGTCCAATGCAAGGCACCAGTAAAAGTTCTCAACCAATATTAACTATTTTTATTATGAATAATATTATTAGCAGTAACCACAGTGAAGTCCATCCTTGTCTTGTGTGGGTGCCTGGCTCCCGTTCTTCCCCAGTTCCCCTGCGGCCCACACAGAATGCTTCTGGTCCATCTTCTGCCACCTGTGGACATCTGAAAGTGGTGATCTGAACATTCTGTGACCCTTGACTCAGAAAGTGGAGAAGCGAGACACTGCCCGGGTCCCTCCTGTGGCTTGTCACCCTCCAGCAGGGCTGGGGTGTGAGTTGGCAGCTTGTTTCAGATCCAGCATTCTGCTGGGAGTCAGGCAGCTATGCGGATGCTGAGCTCCAGCTCCTCTCCACCTGCCAGCAGGGGCCCCTTGTCCTTGGTAAATTTCTCAGTGCAGGAAGTACCTCCTTGCACTAGCCCCTCCCTGAAGCAGGGGCTGCTTGGGCAGCATTTAGGCCATGGCCCCTTCTGCCTCCAGCAAGTCCAGGCCTGGCTGAAAAACTGTTCTCCCAAACCTAACCTCCCCATCAACCTCCCTCATCTCAGAAAATGACATCCCACTGAGTGCACCTGGCTTGGCCCTAGCCTAGGCATTTCCTGAGTTCCCTCTTTCCTCTACCCCCATGTCCCAGGACCCAGTGCTGCAGATCCTACATCCAGACCACACTGGGAACCCAGCATTTCTCTCCATCGACACTGCTCCTACCCCATCATCTCCCGAGACACTGCCAGAGCTTCCCTGAGGGATCAGCCACTTCTCTTCTGCCCTGTACCACCTGGTCCCTCTTGGTTGTACATGGCAACCAGAGTGATTGTTTAATAAGGCAACCTACCCCTGCTTGGAGCCTTTTCCTCTCTTTCTACAGCACCAAGACTGGAATGCTTCCTGGGGCTCCTGCCCTGTGTGGCCTGCCCCAGCTTCAGTGTCTCCCCACCCAGAACGCGCCCCTCCCCAAACTTCTTCTAGATAAGACACCTCCCTCAGGCCCCCCCGCCAAACATCCCTCCTCAGGAAAACTCCCCAGGGCCCCAGGTCGGGCGAGGTTCCCTGTCACACATTCTCAGAGCATCCTGTTCTTTTTCTTCCCAGCACACACCACCGCCAGAATGGAATCATTATTTGCGAAGTTATTTGTGGTTGGCAGCCTGTCTCCCTGTGAGCGTGTGGTATGACCTGGTCACCTGGGCTGAGAGGACTCAGGGCCAGCCTGTGCCCACAGGTGCTGGGAAGCTCAGAGGCACTCAGGGGAAGGGTGGTGGACTCTTCAACCTCCCAGAGGACGGGGCCCTCTCCTTACCTCTGTGCAGGTGCCTGCCCGTGGAGCTGGAGTGACTGAGTGTCTAGTTCTCAGATGAGCCTGTGGGCTCCAGGGCTCTGGGTCAGAGGCTCATCCACGTGCCCGGCTTCCTGTCTCCAGTGCAGGGTTGGCCCTGAGTAGCTCTTCAGACCCTGGGAAGGGATGACAGGGACAGTGAGTGAAAGCACAGTCAGGCAGGGCTTTCTGGGAGCAGGGTGGAAGGCTATCCAGGAAGGAGAAGGGGTTCCAGGCTGGAGGAAGGAGGTGAGAGAAGGGGCAGGTGGGCTGCCTGCCTCCAGCCTGAGCAGAGGGCACTCTTCAATAGTGCTGGTTCGACTGAAGAACTACTGTGTGCCACTTCCCTGAATCTGCCTCATTTCTACAGAGGAGGAAACTGAGGCTCTGAAAAGTTAGGGAGCTTGCCCGAGGTCTCTCAGGAAGCTGAGATTCTGAGTCCACCATCTCTGCTCTGTCCTCAGGCCATGCTACTTCTAGAGCAGCAGTGTCTAAAAGAAATATAATACAAGCCACACATGGGATTTTAGGTTTTTCTACTAGCCACTGATGGGGTACAGGAAATGCTACCCCAAGATATGGCACCTTAGAAATGCAAAAAACTGCAGAAGCAGGATGGCCACTCTCATCTTCCCCTCATCCTTCTTCTCTGAAGCAGGCTGCCAGGAAGGTCAGTCTGTGACCTCTCCCCTCCTTCTCCCCTGAAGACCCTCATGTGACAGGTGTCCTGCCCTATACCCAGATGGGGAGAAATGTCACACAGGAACACCAAGAAGAATCTGAGCAAACAGGCCTTGCTAAATCCACGCCCTCCCTCATTTATTACTATTAGATCATACTTTTTTTTTTTTTTAAGATGGAGTCTTGCTCTGTCACCCAGGCTGGAGTGCAGTGGCGCAATCTCAGCTCACCACAACCTCCGCCTCTTGGGTTCAAGCAATTCTCCTGTCTCAGCCTCCTGAATAACTGGGACTACAGGTGCACGCCACCATGCCCGGCTAATTTTTGTATTATTATTATTTTGAGACAGAGTCTCGCTCTGTCGGCCAGGCTGGAGTGCAGTGGCATGATCTTGGCTCACTACAACCTCTGCCTCCTGGGCTCAAGCAGTTCTCCTGCCTCAGCCTTCCAAGTAGCTGGGATTACAGGGGTGTGCCACCACGCCTGGCTAAATTTTGTATTTTTAGTAGAGACGGGGTTTCACCATGTTGGCCAGGTTGGTCTTGAACTCCCAACCTCATAATCCACCCACCTTGGCCTCCCAAAGTGCTGGGATTAGGCGTGAGCCACCATGCCCAGCCTTTCATTAATTTTTTTTATTTTTATTATTTTTTTGAAACAGAGTCTCGCTCTGTTGCCCAGGCTGGAGTGCAGTGGCGTGATCTTGGCTCACCACAACCTCCACCTCCTGGGTTCAAGTGATTCTCCTGCCTCAGCCTCCTGAGTAGCTAGGACTACAGGCACGTGCCACCACAGCTGGCAAATTTTTGTATTTTTAGTAGAGATGGGGTTTCACTACGTTGGCCAGGCTAGTCTCAAACTCCTGACCTCATGATCCGCCTGCCTCAGCCTCCCAAAATGCTGGGATTACAGGTGTGAGCCACCGCACCCGGCCACTTTTTGTATTTTTAGTAGAGACGGTATTTCACCATATTGGTCAGGCTGGTCTCCAACTCCTGACCTCCGTGATCCACCCTCCTTGGCCTCCCAAAGTGCTGTGTTTACAGGTGTGAACTACCGTGCCCCTCCAGATCATACCTTTTGGTCCACCAATCATAATTCTGCACACTGTCCATAAAAACAGATCTCCTTGTTTCTTTGGGTTTTCATTTCTGAAGGTTTCCATGTCAGGGAAAACTTTTATAAAATACATTTGTATGCTTTTCTCTTGTTAATCTGTTTTTAAAATTTTACTTCATTTATTTATTTTTTAGAGACAGGGTCTCACTCTGTCGCTCAGGCTGGAGTACAGTGGTGCTATCATAGCTTACTGTAACCTCGAACTCCTGGGCTCAAGTGATCCTCCCACCTCAGCCTCCTGAGTAGGTAGGACTACAGGTGGGTGCCACCACACCTGGTTAATTTTTTAATTTTTTGTAAAGACAGAGACTTGCTATGTTGCCCAGGCTGGTCCTGGCCTCTTGGCCTCTGGCCTTGTCCTCTCAAAATGCTGGGATTATAGGTGTGAGCCACTTTAATCTGTCTTTTATTAAACTTGCAATGAGTGAGGAAAAGATATTACTTTTTCTCCCCTACACATTAAAAAGAGTAAAAAAAGAGTCAATTTTAATAGCATATTTTATTTAACCCAATATACCCAAAACATTACCATTTCAACATACCAATATAAAATTATTAAGATTTTTAACATTTTTATGGTATTAAGTCTCAAAATCGAATGCCTGTTTGACAACACATGGCCATTTGAACCAGAAACCATTTCAAATGTTCAAAAGCCGTATCGGCTGGTAGGTACTGTAGTGGATGGTGCAGAGGGTCGGATGCTGTGTGTGCATTCAGTAAATGAGGACTGAGTATCTATTCCATGCCAGGCACTATGGCAAGACCAGGAACACATCAGGGCACAAGGAGCCCTGTCCTCCAGGAACTACCAACGATATCTGAGGGTCTCTGCAAGGGGTAAGCTTGTGTGTGCCAGTTTCACCCATGGGATATCACCCAAGTGATACGTGTCTGCCCCATGACATTCACAATACACATGCCCACATCCCACACTCCTGTTGTCTTGGCAGCTGCCTCTCATGAACTACTGCTGCCCAAGAGATTTTATGTCTCCAAGGAGGGAGGCAGAAACAAAGGCAAAATAACACATGGAAGTATTCTGGGTTTCCTTCCTGAAAAGAGCATGAAGGAAATAAAGCAATCAAGAAGTCCCAACCTGGGAGGAAGTGTATTCAGGTGGCAAAGCACCTGGAATTCATAAGTGTGCTTGTGAAGGCACCAGGAAACACTGGTCTGTTCATCTTCAAATAACTACAGCTGCCCTATGGGGCAATTTTGGATATCAACTCCCACTAGATCCTGGTTCAGTTAAGCAGCAGCAAATGCCCAAGTTCAGGAAAATCCAAGATGACCTTATGTTGCTTCTTCTGAAAATTCAAGTCATGCAGATACAAGCATGGTTTAAGAAGTACTTACGTGCGGCCGGGTGTGGTGGCTCACGCCTGTAATCCCAGCACTCTGGGAGGCCGAGGCAGGTGGATCATGAGGTCAGGAGATCGAGACCATCCTGGCTAACACAGTGAAACCCCGTCTCTACTAAAAAATACAAAAAATTAGCCGGGCATAGTGGCAGGCGCCTGTAGTCCCAGCTACTCGGGAGGCTGAGGCAGGAGAATGGCGTGAACCCAGGAGGCGGAGCTTGCAGTGAGCCGAGATTGTGCCACTGCACTCCAGCCTGGGCGACAGAGCAAGACTCTGTCTCAAAAAAAAAAAAAAAAAGAAAGAAAAAAAAGAAGTACTTACATGCATGTCAAGTGAAAAAGCACTTGACATGAGCTCTCTGTAATTCCTCACTCTTGAGTGGAACCCTCAGTCTGAGGCTGCCAGCCCTGCACTGTACCCAGGAACACATAGGTGACTGCACTAATTGAACCCTTAGGAAGGAGCAGCAGCTATCTCTGCCTCTCCTCAATTTCCTGGGGCTCAAGGTGGACTTTTGACTCCCAGAGAAGAGCAGGAGCCTTTCCTACACTTCCGTTCAACATTCCAGCGCCTTCTCTAAGACCTAGTACCCTAACCTACTGGTAAAAATGACGCCTACTTCCCAGCCAGGGTGACTGCTGAGATTCAAAGTCACCACTACGAAAACATGGGAAACTCTAAAACCAGCGATGTGGCAGATGCCAGTCTCAAACATGAGATTGTTAATTGCCTGGATCCCTGGGGACGCTGAAGGGACTAAGGACAAAAGAATAACTAACTGCACTAGTAGAGGAATAAGACTGGCTTGAGCTTGCATTCCCACTCTACCAACTCCAAACTTCACTGTCCTCATTTGTAAATAGGGTGCTATAAAGAATAAATGACGTAATACATGAAGTGTTGGGCACAGGATCCGGCTCATAGTAAATGACCAATACATCCTAGCTATCATTATTCTACATTAATAACAACCATGACACACAGCTACGATGTGTGCGGGGGAGGGGGAAGACTTGAGAGAGCAACCCTTCCTATCACTCCCTCATTTCACAGGTGAGGAAACTGAAAGCCAGGCAAGGTTCCCGGCCAGCTCCGGGCTTTCCGGAGTTGAGGAGGGGAGGAGGGGGGGATCTCAGGAGAGGGAGAGAAAGCCAGCAGGATTCGAGGTAGGCCTCTGGGGAGCGAGCTGCATAGCTTGCAGGGGCGCACCTGTGAGAGTGAGGGGTGAAGCCTAAAGCAGCAGCCCTGAGTGATGGCTCATGCGTGTAACCCCAGCACTTCGGGAGGCCAGGTGGGAGGACTGCTTGACTCCATGAGTTTGAGACCAACCTGGGCAACATAGGGAGACGTCCTCCCACGTCCCTACAAAAAAAATTTTAAAACTGGCCGGGCGCGGTGGCTCATGCCTGTAACCCTAACACTTTGGGAAGCCGAGGCGGGAGGATCATTTGAGGTCCGGAGTTCGAGACCAGCCTGGCCAACGTGGTGAAACCCCATCTCTACAAAACACACACACACACACACACACACACACACACACACACACGGCCGGATGTGGTGGGCGCCTGTAGTCCCAGCCACTCGGGAGGCTGAGGCAGGACAATTGCTTGAACTCAGCGATTGAACTCGGGAGGCGGAGGTTCCAGTGAGCCAAGATCGCGCCACTGCACTCCAGCCTGGGTGACAGAACAAGACCTTGTCTCAGAAAAAAACAAAAAAGAAAAAGCAGCAGCCTTGATTTGAGAGGGAGGCCCCAGTGGGGCTTGAGATCGGGACTACGGAAGGCAGGGGGTGGAAGCAAGAAAAGGCAGGCCTATGGGAAAAGGGAATTAAGGGCGTAGGATTTGGAAGAGCGGCTTGTAGGATGTGGGCCTGAAATGAAAGGGGGGACTAAGGGAATAGGGAAGCGGGGCTCTCAGGCGGCGAGCCTGAGGGCACAGGGGCTCTCCGAAATGAGAGGCCAATGGGAGGGAGCTGGGCTCTTGGAAGGCGGTGTCGAAGGGAGCGAGGCACTGGCACTGAGCGAGGCACTGTAGAGTAAAGGAGGCGCGAGCTGTGTGCGGCGGGGGTCCGGCGGGTGACGTAGAACATCTCACCTGTCTTCGGCGTCGCGGTTTCAGCCACTGTATCCGGTCGGCTCCGGGAACTGCCCCCGGCGCGCCTGCGGCTCCCGGGAACCCCGGAAACCCCTAGCCCGGCGCTCCAGCCGCTGCCTTGACAACGGCGTCGGACGCCGCGGTGCCCGCGGGGTGGAGCAGGAAGCGCGCCACGGCGAGGGGGCGGTCCCGGAAGTGCGTCAGTCTTACCTTCGCGGCCACAACTCGCTCGGCTGCCGCCATTTTGCGAGCTCGTCGTACTGTTCGAGCGGGGAGGCTGTCTTGAGGCGGCACTCCTCACCGACACCGAGGCGGACTGGCAGCCCTCAGCGTCGCAGTCATGCCGGCCGGACCCGTGCAGGCGGTGCCCCCGCCGCCGCCCGTGGCCACCGAGCCCAAACAGGTACCTCTCCCCCGCCCCTCAACCTGCAGCCGGAGCGTGGGCCTGGGCGCTACTTACTTGAGCGGGAATAAGCGGCCGGTGTGAAGGGCCTAGAGGGACTGCAAGTCCCAGGAGGCTGCGCGCTTCCCGCGCTATGGTGGTGGTTCTGGTAACGAAACCAGCTGCCCTGAACGGGGTTCTCAAAGTGGTCCGCGGAGCAGCCGCGTCGGCACGAGCCGAGAGCTTAGAAATGTGGAGTCTCCGCCCTAGACCTTTTAAATAGGGATCTTACATTTGAACAAAATCCTAAGGTGATTGATTTGTAAGTGTGAGAGGCGCTGATCCAGCCCATCCTGTGATCTTCTGTGGCAGTTGGGGCCACCGGCCCCAGCCTCTCCCCAGTAATGCCCAATTTCCCAGCCTGGGCGGTACATCTTTGGATGTTAATTCTCAGCATCTATTTCGGTGTCTGCCCCAAGCCAGACACCGTGCCACGCTCCCACGTTACCGGAATGAATGGGGCACGGGGAGCTCACAGGCTAACGAGAAGACAGATACACGAGAATGCTCACCAAATGTTTATTGTTCGATGGCCGTCAATGATACAGTGTCAGCCCGCCCTTAATAAACCTCTCGAATCTCAAATGTGTATAAACCATTGTAGTACGGTGTGATATGCCCTGTGATAGAAGTTTCAGGTACAAATCTAATCAACATTGCTTGCTGGAGTAGAAGGGATACTAAGGTAGGGAAGCCCACGGGAGTGAGAGGTAAATTTCTTTTAGAAGAAGGAATAGGAGTTTGCCAGGCAGGTGACTAGGGAAGGGAAATAACATCCTTTATTCATCCAGCAAATATTTATTGAGCATATATGCTGATCATTGCTTTGGGTTCGGAATGAGGGGGACATGACTGAAGAAGCCATGCCTTTTCCACAGATATTTAAGTACCTGTGTGTCCCTGGCATTTTCCCAGGCGTTGGGAGAAAATAAGGTAATGGCCAGATAATATGCACAAAGACACTGAGTTAAGAATCAAACGGTGTCTCTGATCAAGAGTAAATGAACAAGTGTTGAAGCATAGAGCGTGGTGGCAGGAGATGCGATTCTTTCTTAGGATTTGAACTTTTCCTTGTAGACAATGGGAAGAAAAGGGAGAGTTTTAAGCCAAATAGTGACATTTGTGTTTCAGAAATTCAGGTAGGCAGGCATGTGGAGAGTCACTACGAGGAGGGGAGGCCAGTCACGCTATTCCAAGGGGCTGAAGGCCTGGCCTAGATTAGGGCAGAGGAGTGGGCAGGCTTTCCAGCCAGAGTGGTGTGTTAGAATTCTGGTTCTGCCAGTTGGACATTAAGCTCTCCATCTCTCAGTTTTGTCATCTGTAATGTGGAGATATTAAGAGTACTTGGCCGGCCCAGTGGCTCACGCCTGTAATTCCAGCACTTTGGGAGGCCGAGGCAGACAGATCACTTGAGGTCAGGAGTTTGAGACCAGCCTGGCCAACATGGCAAAACCCTGTCTCTACTAAAAGTAAAAAATTAGCCAGGTGTGGTGCATGTTTGTAATCCCCACTATTCAGGAGAGAATTACTTGAACCTGGGAAGCAGAGGTTGCAGTGAGCCAAGATCATGCCACTGCACTCCAGCCTGGGCGACAGCAAGAGAGAGTCTCAAAAAAAAAAAAGAATACTTAATCTTATAGGCTTCTTATAAGGGTTATAAGAATTAGTATATTTAAAGTGCTTGGGAAAAATACCTGGAATCTACTCAGTGCTTGATAAAAGTTTTTTTTAAGAGACCAGGTGTTGTTCTGTCACCCACGCTGGAATGCAGTGGTGCAGTCGTAGCTTACTGAAGCCTTGAATTCCTGGGCTCAAGCAATCCTCCTGCCTCAGCCTCCTGACTCACCAGGATTATAGGTGCAAGCCATTGTGCCCAACTTGATAAATGTTATTATCATTGAGTGTGGAAGCTGAGGAAGAGAAAGGAGCCCCAACTTTGTGGCATGGACGACTGAGTAGCTATTCCTGAGGAAAGAGGTTAGAGATGAAAGTGCCCAGTAGTTAGCTGGACCCGAAGCTGTTCAGTACGCAAGAGTGTTCTGGGACATCAGTTTGGGCCAGATTGTATAGAGGTGGGAGGGGAAGTGGAGGACACTGTCAAAACTGAGAAGAGAACCAAGAACAGAATTGGGCAGTGGGAGCGGGGATCTCCAACTTCACAGAGCAGGAGGTGAAACAGGCCAGGAAGGAAACTTGGATGGAATGGTGAGCAAGATGGGAAGACAGGTAAGAATGGGGTCTAGGAGTTGAGAGTTTTCGTGAAGGAGTGGTCACCATTCACACCCAGATAATGGCTGTGGGCAGTCGTTTTTGACTTTGTCAAGAGCACTTAAAATGAATGGGGACCAAATGGGAGGCAGGGAAGTGGGATCAGCAAACTGAAGAGAACTCAGGATGTTAAGCTGCCAGAGGATGGGGTGGGAGAAGGCAGCGGCAGAAAGGAACATGGAGGCAGAGGAGAAACTTCATTTTTCTAAGATAAGAGATTTGACCCTTTGTTTATTAAGGGGAAGAAGCTGCTGGAGAAAAAATATTGGTACTTATGGCATAGTTAATGCTGAACATTCCAGTGGAATTTCACAAAACACCTGAGCATTGAATGTTGGTTGACAGTGGAGTAGAGGCAAAGAGCGAGGGCATCCAGGGCAGAAGAATTTGTCAGCAAATAGTTTCCCATTTCTTTATTCAGCAAACAATCATTAAAAATTACATGCCAAGCCCATCGCTGGGTGCGTGGAGTCCAGACATGGCCTGGATTCTGGAACATGGTTTCTCAGAATGTAGTCGGAGTCCCTACATCTGAATCACCTGGGCATTTGGTAAAAATGCAGATTCCTGGTGTCACTGAGACAGTCCAACTAGAGAGGAGCCAGGGAAGCTGCTGTTTTCCCTGGGTCCCCAGGAGCAGCCCCCGCAGGTGCAGTGAACTTAAGAGAACTGCTTTTCTGAAGCAGAGGGTTCTAACCTGAGGGAAGTCTGTGAATGAAAGTCTACTCTGAATGATACCCTAGAGGAGTGTAATAGTGGAGAACCTGCTCTGAACCAGGGACTTTAAAACCTTATTTCTTTTCCTGTTTTCACAGCCCACAGAAGAAGAAGCATCTTCAAAGGAGGATTCTGCACCTTCTAAGCCAGTTGTAGGGATTATTTACCCTCCTCCAGAGGTCAGAAATATTGTTGACAAGACTGCCAGCTTTGTGGCCAGGTAACAGAGCTACCTGGGTGGGTCAGAGGTGGGTTTCAGCATGAAGAGATTTCAGCACTGAATCAGCACAAAGGTTTTTAAAGAGATGTTGTTGGCTTGGGCCTTTTAGTTCATAAAAAACCACAGCATGGCATTGGGGTAGGCAATAGGTAGGACTGGTGTCCCTGACACAGCATAGCAATAGCCAAAGTGAGGATCACACTTAGCTCTGCAGTCACCAGGAGCCTCTGCTTCCAAAACTGGCCTGAGGAAATGCCCGGAAAGCTGCTTTGTCACAGATGGTGTGTGTCTGTACCTGAGCTGCTGGCCTGAGGAAGATAAAAAGGGGAGTTTATTATTCTCATTGTGCAAACACCACATTCCAAGAGCCTCAAATGACTCATCTGCAAAATGGAACAAAATGCCATCTCAGAGTTGTGAGGCAGGAGCGAGGTCATGGGGCTACATGCAGTTCAGTTCCACGCAGGTGCTAGCTGTCTCCTCAGATGGAATGGGAATTGCTCCAAGTTCCTCCTGTGTCTCCCCATAGTTCCGTGCAGGTGCTAGCCGGCTTCTCAGATGGAATGGGTGTTAGAGATCCTCTCTCTTCCTATACTTCCATGCAGGTGCTAGCTGTCTCCTCAGATGGAATGGGAATTGCTCAGAGTTCCTCCTGTCTCTCATACTTACCCTCACGTCCTTAGATGGAATTTTTCTGATGGCCCCTTGACTCCAAAGGTCAATACATCCTCTAGGGTATTTAAGGTATTCCTTTGGCAGCCCTCAGGTCGTGTCCAGCCTACAGATGTTTTGTTTGTCCTCACAGTAAGTTTTTCAAAACTCAATTTGTTGCTAGTATTTAAAAATGAGGAGGCCAGGTGCTGTGGCTCTTGTCTGTAATCTGTAATCCTACCACTTTGGGAGCCCAAAATGGGAAGATAACTTGAGCTCAGGAGTTTGAGACCAGCCTGGGCAACATAGCAAGACCCTGTCTACAAAAAAAAAGTTACCTAGCTGTGGTGGTATGGGCCTGTGGTCCCAGCTACTCAGGAGGCTGAGGTAAGAGGATCAATTGGGCCTGGAAGGTTGAGGCTATAGTGAGCTATGCACTCCATCCTGGGTGACAGTGAGACCCTGTCTCAAACCAAAACAAGTAAAAATGAGATTTCACAATCAGTCTGGATTTCTGGACGGCTCCTTAGTGTGTGGAAGCAGGCTCAATCAGCGTGTGTTCTCCAGGGATCACGTCACTCCCCTGAGGCAGTGTCTCAGTCAGTATACATCATTTAACGGATGTTCCTTCCTTTCCCAACCTAATAAAATTGAAGATTACTTAGGTTAGACTTTTTTTTTTTTTAAATGACATGGAGTCTCGCTCTGTTGCCAGGCTGGAGTGCGGTGGTGCAATCTCAACTCACTGCAACCTCCGCCTCTTGGGTTCAAGTGATTCTCCTGCCTCAGCCTCCCGAGTAGCTGGGACAACAGGCGTGCACCACCACGCCCGGGTAATTTTTGTATTTTTGGTAGAGATGTTGTTTCACCATGTTGGCCAGGCTGGTCTCAATCTCTTGACTACATGATCCCCCCACCTGGGCCTCCCAAAGTGCTGGGATTACAGGCATGAGCCATGGCGCCAGCCTACTTTTGTTAGATTTTCATTGCATCAGCTCTGCAGATTCATCTCATTACATTTCAAGGGCTTTGATTACCCTGAGTATTAGGTTGAAAGCTGCTCTGTGCTTGATTGAACGTTATGATGATGATTGGGTCATGTCAGATTTAGACTGTTTGTTGTGTTTAAGATAAATGTTTAATGGCTCTTAGCCGTGTTCATGCTTCCCCTTTTCCCCTGATATTTTAAAAACAGAATATACAGAAAAGGGGAGTTGGGTGAAGAATCACCATATTCTTGTTACCAGAATAGTGTCTACCAGCTGTTTTCAGTTTTTTCTGTTTCCTTCTGTCCTTGGCATCTTTTTTTAGATCCTTGTAATATTAGCAAAGATATTTTCACATTCAAGTCTGTGTTGTAAGCATTTTTCCATTGTGCTCCATGGTCTTCATAATGCCCTGTGATCCTTTATTAAGAGGATGCATCATGTAGAGGTGAAATACTTTCCTTGACTTGGCCACCATTTCTGTATTTTCCTTAGAGGAGGAGGTTTCCAACATTTCTTTTTTAGAGACAGAGCCTTGTTCTGACATGCAGGCTGGATTGCAGTAGCACGATTATAGCTCACTGCAACCTCGAACTCCTGGGCTCAAGTTATCCTACCACCTCAGCTTCCTGAGTAGCTAGGACTATAGGTGCCTGCTACCACACCTAGCTAATTTTTTATTTTTTTATTTTTTCTGTAAAGATGGGGTCTTTCTATGTGGCTCAGGTTGGTCGTGAACGCCTGGCCTCAAGTGATCCTCATGTCTCAGCCACCCAGAGTGCTGGGATTATAGGCATGACCACTGCACCTGGCCTGTTCCCAACATTTCATTTTGGCAAAGTAAGCTGTGGGGAAATCTCTGAGCATTTTCTTTCCCTTTTAGATTGTTTCCTTAGAAGAAAATTCTGTGTGGCTCATTATTGGCTAAAAGAGCATCTTTGAAAGATTTCTTAAACATTTTGCCAAGTAGCTTTCCAATAATTTTGTGCCATCCTTTGCTGCTAAAGAAATGAGTGTGTCCAAGGTCCCTTTAAATGTATATGACCAGGTTAGGTGGCTCACACCTGTAATCCCAGCACTTTGAGAGGCCAGGGTGGAAGGATCGCGTGAACCCAGGACTTGGAGACCAGCCTAGGCAACATAGTGAGACCCGTCTCTACAAAAAAATAAAAAAGTTAGCTGGGCGTGGTGGCGCATACCTGTAGTTCTAGCCCCTTGGGAGGATCACTTGAGCCTGAGAGGTCAAGGCTATGATCATGCCAGTGTACTCCAGCCTGGGGCGATAGAGCAAGACCCTGTCTCAAAAAAAAAAAAGGAAAGAAAAAAATCCAAAACCATGCACGTCCCTAGATTGATTTTTAGCTATGGTGATTGCTTTTGTAGGCATTTTTGAAATCTGTGAGCCAGTGTGGTGGCTTACACCTGTAATCCCAGCACTTCGAGAAACTGAGGCGGGCAGATCACCTGAGGTCAGGAGTTCGAGACCAGCCTGGCCAACATAGTGAAACCTTGTCTCTACTAAAAATACAAAAAACTAGCTGGGTGTGGTGGCGGGCGCCTGTAGTCTCAGCTACTTGGAAGACTGAGGCAGGAGAATTACCTCAACCCGGGAGGCAGAGGTTACAGTGAGCCAAGATGGTGCCACTACACTCCAGCCTGGGTGACAGAATGAGACTCCGCCTCAAAAGTAAATAAACAAAGTCTGTGAACTTATGGTTTACATTGCAACAAAGAGACCAATATCCGAGTTAAAGCAGACATGCAGAACTCTGTGTTCACTTCTCCTAGGTTCATGTGTATTTATGGAGCATGCAGTAGAAATCTACAACTGAGCAGTTTTCCAAAAGTTTTTTCACTAGATTAGGCCTTTCGTTTCCTGCATGTTCCTGCAAGAAACTGAAGTGGAAATTACCCTTAAAAAGTCCCAGCAGCTGGGTTGAGTCAGAATCATGTTTTTTTCTGTTGAAATCTATTCCTTCTGGTGGAGAGTATGATTCTAAAATTAAAGTTAAGCTAATTTAAAGCAACAGAATAGTTTGGAATGAACTTGCCAAGCCTTCTCATTGTTTTATCTTTCAGATTGTTCCCAGATGGGGTAAAGTTATGGCCTAGGTAGTGGTATAGGAGACAACCAGGCCCCCCTTTTCCAGGAGCCTTTTGTCTGCCCGAGGCATTTGCTGGGTATAGTGGCCTAGTTGAGCAGGGTTTAAGTGGGCATTCACCTTCATTCTTATGTGTGGTTTGCATTATTTAAGGAGTAGGGAGAATTTTTTTTCCAAAGCATGAGGTTCCAGTTAGACTAATGTACTGTCAAATTGAGACCTCATGATGTTAGTCACACGGCAGGGTATGACCAGGACTTGCTGAGGAGCCAGGCTGGGTGTTGATCACTAGTGTGGCACATATTGCTGTACTGCTTGATCTGGGGTACAGTACTGCGTCTCTCTTAAAATTAAAAAAAAACCTTTTTTTTTTAAGAGATGAAATTTCATTTTGTTGTCCAGGCTTGGATATGATCTTCTGGACTCAAGTGATCCTCTCGCCTCAGCCTCCTGAGTAGCTGGGACAACAAGTCTGTGCCACTGTGCCAGGCTCCCACCCCCTCTTAAACTCACAGGCCAGGGATGTGAAAGTCAGAAGAGAGTGGAGCCGGCTGGCTGGCACCAGATAGATGCTGGGGCCATGCCTTGGTGTGTTTGGGGCAGTTCTAAGTACAAGGTTCTCGCCAGAGGAGCAATGGAAGGCCCCACAGATGATGTTTATGGAACAACCCCTCCTAGCCCCTTGCATTTGCAGGCTACTGTATGATTTGAAAAGACTTTAAGGGCTGGGTTCAGTGGCTCACGCCTATAATCCTATCACTTTGGGAGGCCAAGGCGGTTGTATCACTTGAGCGCAGGAGTTCGAGACCAGCCCGAGCAACATGGCGAAACGCCATTTCTACAAAATATAAAACAGATTAGCCGGGCATGGTGGTGCATGCCTGTAGTCCCAGCTGCTCAGTAGGGTGAGGTGGGAGGATCCCTTGAGCCCAGGAGGTGGAGGTTGCAGTGAGCTGAGATTGTACTACTGCACTCCAGCCTGGGTGACAGAGTGAGACCCTGTCTCTGAAACAAAAAGAAGACTTTGGCATCTCCTCAATAATGTTTTAAGGTAGAAAGGGAAACTGGTGTTAGCTGCTTTTTACACATGGGGAAATGGAATCAATGAGTAGTTTGGTAACTTGCTCTGGGTCAGAGTGAGTCAGTAGTGAACCTGCAACTTGAATGTGTTCATATCTTGTGTCTTTAAGGTCCGTGTATTTTCTTACTGACACAGGTGTTGAAGTATTACTGTTGGGACATTTTAAAAATCAGGGTTCCCTAAATATCATTACAGGGACATTTTTTCATTATCCTGAGGTTTTGAAGGCTTGCTGGGGACATGGGGCATATCTGGGGAACCATCCCAAGTACAGACAGTGGTTGGAGACCTCCCTGCTGATCTTACTACACCCCTGTCATCTGAAGGTGCCTTATACAGCTGTACGAGGCTGGGTCCTTGCTGAGCATGTTTCCTGTGTGGGCCTCACCAGTATAATTGGGGTGGTTTTAGGCAGTACTTGGACAAGGCATTAAACCAACTAATTTGTTTTGTTTTTGTTTTTGTTTCTTAAAACAAAAACAAAAGACAGAGTCTCACTCTGTTTTCCAGGCTGGAGTACAGTGACACGGTTCTAGCTCACTGCAGCCTCAGACTCCTGGGCACAAGTGATCCTCCCACCTCAGCCTCCTGAGTAGCTGGGACTAGAGGCACAAGCCACCATGCCCAGCTAATTTATTTTTAAAATTGTTTGTAGAGTTAGGGTCTTTTCTTGTTGCCCAGGCTCAAATCAACTAAATTTTCATGTCTTTCAGTCTTTCTCGATACTCAGAGGACAAAGTCTAGGTTTGGTGTTCACGTACCTTTTACACCTCTCCAGCACTTGCTACCCCTTTGAACTAAGAGAACTAGTCTCAGCAAACTTCCAGCTAAACTTTGACAGTGTTACTTTGTTTTCATCATATTCACTTAAAATAAATGAGCAATAGCCTAGGTGGTTTTGGAAATGGCAGAACTGGAAAAGGAGGTAAGGAATGACTGGGTTCAGGGAGACCCCGTGGTAGAAGTGGCCTGGTTCGAGCTGAATGAGGCACATGGCACTGATCGCCAATGCCAGGAGGCTGGAGGAGGACATCTGCTGTGCTGAGGGCTGGACTGGTTTGAGCAGTGGGTGGTGGCAAAAAGGACGTTCCAATGGGCAGTGTCCTAGATCTCAGCAGGCACAAGGGATGTGGTGTTTATTCTTGCTGTTTTTTCTCCCTCTAGAAATGGGCCTGAATTTGAAGCTAGGATCCGACAGAACGAGATCAACAACCCCAAGTTCAACTTTCTGAACCCCAATGACCCTTACCATGCCTATTACCGCCACAAGGTCAGCGAGTTCAAGGAGGGGAAGGCTCAGGAGCCGTCAGCTGCCATCCCCAAGGTCATGCAGCAGCAGCAGCAGGCCACCCAGCAGCAGCTGCCCCAGAAGGTTTGGAGCCCAGTGCCCCCTTCACTTACGCAGGGCTTGAGAGGGAAGCAGGGATAGGGAGGGGGTACACAAATAACTCTAAACCTCACAACCACCCAGGGAGAGAAGTAAGGTTGTTATTCCTATCTCTCAGAGGCAGACTGAGACCCAGACAGCAAAGTACTGATGTTAGTTGGCATTTCCCAAGCACTGCTTGTCAGACTCTGTGCTTATAACTTCAGGAGTCTTGTCTCATTGACCCCTCACAGAGGCTGTATGAGGAATCTGAGAGTCAGGGGAAGTGTGATTTATTCAAGGCCTTGCTCAGGGTGTGAGGGCAGTGCCATGATGGGTGAAGGACTTCCTACTTGGCTGTGCTGAAGGATGCAGTGTGGCCTGTGGGCTCCTCCTTATGCTCTCACTTCCCTTCTGTCTCTTCTTCCCAGGACCCTTCTATCTGGCCTCCCCTAATACCACTTCCCTGTACTGAGGCCCGGCACTAGGGACTATTAGGGTTATGAATGAAGAGAGAGGCTGACATGTTATTCCTCCTGTCCAGACCTGCCTTCTGTACTCCTGAACCACGGTGGAAAAGGCAGCTCCTCCTTTTGCAGTGGGATATAAAGGTTGAGGTCAGGTTCTAAGACCTTACATTGTAGTGTACTACTCCTAGAGCCTCAGGCTACCTCAGTTTCTTCATCTATAAAGAGGATTCACAGTACCTGTTCTACCTCACGATTCATGTGGAGGTCATGGAAACATTTTGTACAGTGGGGTTTTCTGCACACACGTAGGCCTTCTGCACTTCCGTCTCTCTGGGATGGGATTTAATAAGCCATATTCCTGTTGGATCTTCTGTCACCCAGTTTTGGCCCTCAATTTCAAGGCAGGAGCAGAGGTACAGAGGGGAATGGTTCTCACTCAGAGCCATTCAGGGAGTTGAGGCCATAGTTGGCTGGGAAATCAGTGCTCTTGTGATTTAGAATTCTCTCACACCAAGTGCTAGTGGTGTGTGCATAATTAACAGAAGTCTAGAGGTTCACAGCATCCTGTTGAGGGGTATACCCATGTCCCCTCCCCTCCCCTGGAGCCTGTTCACTCCTATGCCGCTTGCTTCATACTCCCTTTGCATCTTAGGTCCAAGCCCAAGTAATCCAAGAGACCATCGTGCCCAAAGAGCCTCCTCCTGAGTTTGAGTTTATTGCTGATCCCCCCTCCATCTCAGCCTTCGACCTGGATGTGGTGAAGCTGACGGCTCAGTTTGTGGCCAGGAATGGGCGCCAGTTTCTGACCCAGCTGATGCAGAAAGAGCAGCGCAACTACCAGTTTGACTTTCTCCGCCCGCAGCACAGCCTCTTTAACTACTTCACGAAGCTAGTGGAGCAGTACACCAAGGTGCCTGGGTAGGATGGGGCTGGGGTCCTGGGCCCAGGAAAGGAAAACATCTTACCCTTGGAAGCACTGTGTCCACTCACTGTCTGCAAGGACATCGCTTCTCCATGGGGCCTCTGAGCACATGTTTTGAATCCCAGTTTAATGTAAAACCTTGATTTTTATTCAGTTATTTCTTTCAGTGCAACACAGACTGCTTGTTTCTAAAGAGAAGGGAAGTACATGCTTGCTAACTACCATTAGGCGATTGCCTGCTATGTGACAAGGCCAAGTGGTGCTTGCTGCTTTTAAGTACATTTCCATTTTCAGTTGCCTAGTAAGGCCCTGAGAAGAAGTCAGCCTTTAACAGTTGCCTCCTTTTACCTAATTTAGTCCTCACAAGAAGCCATGAGGTGTTTTCTCCCCATCTTTCAGAAGCAGAAATGGGCTCAGAAAGGTGAAGTCACGTACTCAAGGTTTGTCAGTCAGTAAGTAGCTATGCTGAGGTTTAAACCACATTTGACCCTAAAACTTTGGTTCTTCAGCTTATAAAGTGCCTTAAATTGGAAATAGCATTTAAATAGGCGTTGAGAGACGCTTTGATGTGATACAAGTCAGTATAACTAACATCACTAAGAAATTGTGTGTGCAGCATCTTCTCATTTAATCTCCAGTAGCCTATAAGGTAACCACTCTTATTATGTTCACTTTACAGAAAAGAAAACAGGTGCAGTGAAGTTAACATGGCCAGGGTCACATAGCTAGGAGGTGGCAGGGCTGGGGCTTGAGCTCTGGCATTTTTACTCCAGACCCTAAGAGCTCAGTTATCATGTGACAGAGCTGCAATCAAGAATCTAGACAAGTCAGTTCTGGCATTTAAAATAATTAGATTATTAATGTATTGCAAAGTGTACTGGTATAGCTTTGCCTGTGGCACATTTTTCTTGCTACACATATCATGGAGGTTGTTTTCCTTCTGTTTTCAGTGGGATGGTCTGTACATCTGTTCTTCATATCCAGAAACAACACCTCAAAGATCTGACTTGAAAGGACTTGAGAATTTCCTAACTTCACTCACTTTTAAATATATAATTAGAAAGAATTGTAAAAATGTGTGTGTTTAAAAAATGACCAAATCCAGAAGCTAGTATGGTAGCTTAAATAACGATCATTGAAGGCCCAAGGCCAAAGAGTTACTATAAATATGCAATATCAATTTTAAAGGAGCCCTGGATTAATTTTTGCCAGTGGACTGCTTCCAGGGTTAAAGGTCCCAGATCACTTTTTATTCTGTTACTTTCCTGTTTTTTCTTCTTCAGAACTTGGGTATTGGCATTTACCACTGTAACTTGAGGGTACTGGTGTCTGATTCTAGCCATGGAAGACTGAGCAGATAGATTCTTGGGGTAAAGGTATAAGGAAGGACTGGGATAGGGCTGAGCCACTTTGCCAGTGGCAGTAGAAGCTTTTTGGACCCTTTAGAACAAAGGCAACATTTGTTCTTTCAGTAAATATTCATTGTCAGACATTATTCAGGGGACTGGAGATGTAATCGTGAACAGAAGAGAAATCCCTGTCTTGGTGGAGTTTCTAGTCTAGTGAGGAGGAGTCAGGTGCATTGTTAGTGTCTGTCACATGGTGCTAAATGCTATGGAGAGAAAGAAAGCAGGGGGCAGAAATAGAGGGAGGTGGGGCAGGTAGACTGCGATTCTGAATAGGATAGTCAGGGGAGACCTGTGCAGTGTTTTTGAAAGGATAAGAGCAGGTCAGTCTCATGAAAGCAGCCATCTCGTACTGACCATGTTCTGGGTAATCTGCTAGTGCTTTGCATGCTTTCCTGCTAATCCTTGAAGCAGCCTTTTTCAGTTCATGGTGCCAACTTTAAGTGGTGGTGCCATTATTTTGGAGAAGGAAATCAAGTTACTGAGGTGACATAACTTGCCCAAAGTCCCACAGCCAAGTGGAGCTGGGATTGGGACACAGAATCCCATGCTTCTTCATCTCCTGTGCTTTATCACAGGCCCAGGAAAGCTGCCTCTTTGTACCGCATTGTAAAGCACTGACAGTTGCTTTAACTCTTCTGTATTTCAGATCTTGATTCCACCCAAAGGTTTATTTTCAAAGCTCAAGAAAGAGGCTGAAAACCCCCGAGAAGTTTTGGATCAGGTAAACTGAATAGGATTTCTTGCAATCAGTTACTGATGTTGGGTTCTGTTTTATATTTGAAAACAGTCCCTGAGGCAGGACCTTGTTATGTTCCGGTCACAGGAATGGTGGGAGAAAAGGCTTTGTTAGATACAAAGGCCAAAGAAACCTGGAGTCCGGATGCTTCCCAACATACCACAAGTTTCTGCTTTGCTCTCAGCCTCAATATGTCTCCCTCTTTTCCAGTCTAACTAGAAGGCAGAAGGCCAGCTGCCAAGCAGATCAGAGGATGGAGGTTTCATTCTATCCGAACTCTGCGCCTGGGTGGAACCCGGTGCAAATGCCATAGTTTGGAACCATACTTCCATTCTGTTTTGAAGGAGGCGCTGGCTTTGATGAAAGCCCTCGAGGTGGTAGCCTCATCAGGAGCAGACCCTGCTTCAGCTTAGCACCGAGCTGTTTCCCATCTCTGTAGGTGTGTTACCGAGTGGAATGGGCCAAATTCCAGGAACGTGAGAGGAAGAAGGAAGAAGAGGAGAAGGAGAAGGAGCGGGTGGCCTATGCTCAGATTGACTGGCATGATTTTGTGGTAGTGGAAACAGTGGACTTCCAACCCAATGAGCAAGGTAGGTCTGTGAGGAGTGACTCTAGATGGCGAGCCACGAACTCTGAGACTTCCCAGGAGGCCTTGTGCAAGCGTTCCTAGAGAGCAGCAGAATCTCTCAGAGGGCTTTATCAGTGTCTGTTTCTTCCCTGCTCCCAGAAGACTTTGGTTCTACCGCTTTGCCCAAGTTAGATTCAGTAGCTACTTGCCAGACCCTAGATGGGCCTCTGAAGATAGCTGGAGAGAAAACAGACATAGCCTCAGCCCTTGGGAAGCTCAGACAGGGCAAATAGATGGGTCTTTGATAAGGAATACCTTTGCCTCTGGCTCACCCTCTAGGGAACTTCCCTCCCCCCACCACGCCGGAGGAGCTGGGGGCCCGAATCCTCATTCAGGAGCGCTATGAGAAGTTTGGGGAGAGTGAGGAAGTTGAGATGGAGGTCGAGTCTGATGAGGAGGATGACAAACAGGAGAAGGCAGAGGAACCTCCTTCCCAGCTGGACCAGGACACCCAAGTACAAGACATGGATGAGGTAAGCTGCTGGGCGGGCCTGCGGGATGACCTTTTCTCCTGACGCCCCAGGAGATCGAAGTGCTCTCCACCAGTCAGATCCAGCTCCCTGGTGAGCCTTGAAAGGAGGCGTGGGTCCTGAAAAAGGCCATACAGCTGCCCAAGCCCAGGCAGTACAGAGCCTCTTTCCAGCTCCGGCAACAAAGATTCATTCATAGGCAAGGATCTAAAAGCTGTGCTGACCTGTTCTGTGGCCTTCTCCCTGGTCCGGACACTCTGCTCTCACTGCCTCGTGCCAGCCCTCAGTTAGGGAACTCACTGCATTACCCTATTCTGTTTTGAGCTCTCAGCTGGGCTCCAAGCTCCCAGAGCTTTTCTAAATGTAGCCCACACTTCCTTTCAGGCATCCCTACCCCCTTCAAGCCAGGCCCTCCAAGCAGGCATGGAGTCTCCAGAACCAGACTGTTCTCCCCCTCTCGGAAAGAATTTGTGCACAGCCTGAGAAGAAAGGGCCCCTGTCTGTGGGAAATGACTTTTTCTCTCCCTCCCAGCATTGCTGTATGAGCGGCTACCATTGATTGCCCACTTGCCCCCCTCTGCCACTCCCCCAGCACTGACCCCCCAGCATGTTAAGTGCCCTTGGCCTCTTGGGACTGCCTGGTGCCAGCTGCTGGAAATGCCTGGGAGGAGTGCTAGGAGCATGGCCCCAGCGCTCCCATTCATGCTGTGAGGAAGCAGGTTGGCCTGCTGCCGGCTGGCCTCAGCTGCCCTCGGAGGCTTAGCACATGGATGCTGGCTGGCAGAGGCCAAGGCTGCTTGCCACCCAGAGAGCTGCCAGGCTCAGCTACAGGAATGTGGCCTCAGCCCCTCTTTGAGTCCTGTCATTGCTTTGCTTTTCAGGGTTCAGATGATGAAGAAGAAGGGCAGAAAGTACCCCCACCCCCAGAGACGCCCATGCCTCCACCTCTGCCCCCAACTCCAGACCAAGTCATTGTCCGCAAGGACTATGATCCCAAAGGTAGGGCCTGCTTCCCAACCCTCGGACTGCCCAGGAAGATCCTGTGTGCCCTTGTGTGTTCCTCACACCCGTCTTTCTAGGAGGGCTTGAGGTGCAGCTTATTGTAAAAGCATTGCAAGCCCATCTGTTACAGGTTTCATGGTGGGGAACAGGGCCCAGTCATTTCTGGTGCCCTAGTGCCTTTCACAGTGCCAGGTACAAGAGTGGCACTGAATAGATGCCTTGATGAATGATGCATGAATGAAATACCACCCTCTTAACTCAGGTGGCTGCCCACCAGTGTTCTTACTGAAACATATGTTTCCTTTTAGCCTCCAAGCCCTTGCCTCCAGCCCCTGCTCCAGATGAGTATCTTGTGTCCCCCATTACTGGTGAGAAGATCCCTGCCAGCAAAATGCAAGAACACATGCGCATTGGACTTCTTGACCCTCGCTGGCTGGAGCAGCGGGATCGCTCCATCCGTGAGAAGCAGAGTGATGACGAGGTGTACGCACCAGGTGAGGTAGGGGTTCCAGGAGAGCCCATGATGATCTCCAAATTACAGTCAACTTCTAAGTAAACATAGAAAGCAACAGTTGAGATCAACAGAAGCTTTTGAGGAGAGTTGTACCCTATGATATTGCAAGAGAACTCCCCACTTTCCAGAGGACTCCCCATAGAAATTCCCCAGAGGCAGACACTGAAGGAGAGGACATGTGCCTGTTAAAATCCCAGAGAAAGCTCTGGCTTTAGCTGGGAGGGCTTCCTGTGGCTGTTTAGAAGGAAAGCACTGATGGCTGGAGTACCCTGAGCTGCTTGGAATGCGTCAGGGACTGCCAGAGGTGGGAGACTGCACTTCTAGTTTTGACTCTGCCACTTAGGCCATGTGGCCCTTTCCACACAGTTGCCCTCTCTGACTCACCATCTTATTTATTTATTTAATTAATTAATTAATTTATTTATTTTATGAATGATGGAGTTTTACTCTGTCTCCCAGGCTGAAGTGCAGTGGCGCCATGTTGGCTACTACAACCTCTGCCTCCCACGTTTAAGCAGTTCTCCTGCCTCAGCTTCCCAAGTAGCTGGGATTACAGGCACGCACCACCACACCCAGATAATTTTTGTATTTTCAGTAGAGATGGGGTTTCACCATGTTGGCCATGCTGGTCTCGAATTCCTGACCTCAGGTGTGATCCTCCTGCCTTGGCCTCCAAAGTGCTGGGATTACAAGCATGAGCCACCTTGCCCGGCCTACTGTTCTTTTCTAAGTCAGAGGGGTTGCACAAGCACTGGGTTTGTAGGTTTAGTACTGATTGGGTAGCTTTCCCCGAGCCCAGAGGACAAGAGTGCTGTGTTGGGACCCTGAGTCACCCTCATTCCATGGAACCGGCCTCCTCCCTGCACACCAGAAAAGCTGCTCTCTTATCAGGACACCTGGTTTATTTTCTGTGTCTATCCTCTACCTCTGTTTTGTGACTGTACAGGTCTGGATATTGAGAGCAGCTTGAAGCAGTTGGCTGAGCGGCGTACTGACATCTTCGGTGTAGAGGAAACAGCCATTGGTAAGAAGATCGGTGAGGAGGAGATCCAGAAGCCAGAGGAAAAGGTGCGGCTAAAGTGGAACCTAGTGTCTTCTCTGCCCCCTGTCTTTCACACTTGGGCTTAGTTCCAGGAGCATTGTGGCTTTGCTTTCACTTGCAGGTGACCTGGGATGGCCACTCAGGCAGCATGGCCCGGACCCAGCAGGCTGCCCAGGCCAACATCACCCTCCAGGAGCAGATTGAGGCCATTCACAAAGCCAAAGGCCTGGTGCCAGAGGATGACACCAAAGAGAAGATTGGCCCCAGCAAGCCCAATGAAATCCCTCAACAGCCACCGCCACCATCTTCAGCCACCAACATCCCCAGCTCGGCCCCACCCATCACTTCAGTGCCCCGACCACCCACAGTAAGCCAGCATCTACCCTGCAGCTGACTTTTTAGAGCTTTGTTCTTGAGGTCGGACAGTGTTGGCTGAGACGGGCAACTGCCTTACAGTGTGGGGCGGGTCAGTTTGAAAGAGAAAGAGCCCTTTAAATGCAAGTGGGAACCTCTAGCTTAATCTGTTTGTGGAGGAGGGTTGGAACAAGGAGGGAGGTGAGAGGCAAATGTGAGAAACCAGTTAGCGTCAGAGAAGGGCTGCAGGGCTTATTGGGTCTGTGAGGACTGCTGGCCTGTCTCCAGGAGATTTAGTCGAGGTCTCAGCTCCTCTCC